AAAGGAAAGGAAAGGAAAGGAAAGGAAAGGAAAGGAAAGGAAAGGAAAGGAAAGGAAAGGAAAGGAAGTCAGGATTTGCAAAAAAACTGAACACTACATCTGATCCTGCATTCTGTATTTCTCCTGTGGGACTGTGTTGGGCATGTAATCTGCAATCGGCTGGACAATCGTTCTGAAATAAAACTGTGTGATGGGTGGCTTCTGATGCGTCTCGGAGCTGCGCCTTCGAAAAGAGATTCGAAGGCTTGCCAGCTGCTGCACCCACAGAGGATCCCTGTCCCAGCCCACTCTATTCCTTTGCACACTGTCCAGCTACAAAAAGCAGCTTTTTTTACTATCAAAGAGAGACTGCTCTCCGTTTCCCTCTGCTTCTTCTCATGCAAAACTTCCCAAGGGGATTTACCCATCCCTCTCTGCTGTCGGCTGCAAATTCCCAGCTGCTGGGAACGAAAAGCTTGGGCACAAACGGTCCGGCCCTTTATCTGTTCCTCCCAGGGAGTGGACAAATGGAAAGGCAGTCCATCCTCGGGAGCAAGACGGCAAACCGAAGGGTGACTCTCATTGCTTTGGTACCCTCCGAGGAGGGAAACGGGGAAGGGGAGAAACGATTGCAGAAGCCGGTTGCGGAGAATAAAACCGAGGCCAGATGCACCGGGATGCGCTCACAACCTGGTGATTGCATCCTGATTTATGGCCCTTGCTGTGGATGCAAAGGCACCAGTGGAAGTTCACTGCAACACAGGACAGGGGGATGTGGTGGGCAGAGGGGACGCAAACTGTTTCTGAGAGCCCTCTGGGAAAACTCAGTTTGATCTCTGTTTATCTCAAGCCAGCATTGCCTGGTTGTTTTGAAGCTTGCTGCAACCAAATAACAAATCTAGAGGTTTCTCCTTCCCCTAAAGGAGAGAATCTCGCCAGGGTTACAGAATGGGTAGTCCTCGACTTACAACCACAAGTGGGACCGGAACTCCTGTTGCTAAGTGGTGTGGTCATTAAGTGAGTCACGCCCGATTTTATGACTTTTGCTATGGTCATTAAGTGAATCTGGCTTCCCCCATTGACTTTGCTTGTCAGAAGCCCTGTGGGAAGGTCGCAAATGACGATCATGTGACCCCGGGATGCTGCAACTTGCCAGTTGCCAAGCGCCCGAATTTTGATCGTGTGACCACGGGGACGCTGCAATGGTTGTAAGTGTGAGGACTGTTCGTAAGTCGCTTTTTTCAGTGCCGTGTAACTTCAAATGGTTGTTAAATGAATGGTCATAAGTTGAGGACTACCTGTAATCTTTATGCTAGGCTCTGCGATCAATGCACAATTAAAACAGGTTCCCCAATTGGGGCAGAGAAGCTTCCTCAAAGGAGAGCTAACCCAGCAATGACTAAGTCTTCCCCTAAATGGCTCAGGTTTCTAGTCCTCGTTATTATGTTGCAGAAGAGAGGCTTAGTTTCATCAGGGTGATGTGACTAGTTTCCAACGCAGCCCAAATGGGAACTCTGGAAACTTCCCAGAATAACTTCCCCATGTCTTTGGGGACCTCCATCAAGTGCGCAAGCAGAATTTAGCTTTAGAGTGATTTCCACAGATTGGCATCGGGCACCCTCCCAATTGAACTGAATAAATAAACTGCATGTAAGTCAACATAAAATATCGCTACAGGCCAGGTTGGAAAGGGTGGGGCCTTCAGGCTGAGTGAGAATACCTTCCTAAGCCCTCCCCATGAGTTTTCATAGGCAGACACGAGATTTTAATTTCCAGCTTGGCTTTTGAGCTACTTCACTGCATTAATTATCAATGCGACCCCCGGAGGGAAACCCACCGTGGCTTTGGACTCTGATGGCTCTCTGGGTCAACAGCTTCCGAGCGATTAAAACCACTTTTGGAACACCGCCGCTGAATAAATGACCCGGTGCCCAAAGTGCCTCTACCGAACCGCAAACAAGGCTGCTGCGTCCCCGCCGGCTGCCATCGCTCTAATGGATGCCCGCTAACCAGCTGGCCCTCGGCCTCAGCTGCTTAAAATGCCACCAACTATTTCCTTGTCTCGTTAGGTGAACGAGATGGCTCTGGCTAATTATTCCATAAAAAATTAATAAAATCCGCACTGGTGGGCTTGAGTGCAGTGGGGGGAGCGAAGGAAATGCAGGACAGATTGGGGCAGAGGAGCGTGCTGTCTCCCAGGCCCTCAAGAGTGCCAGGGAGGGCTTCCCTACACCCCGAGCTCACCTTTCTGAGACAAAAAGAATGAATTCTACTTACTGGGGCATCCAGCTGATCCAACCCCAAGAGCTAAAGTCACATTGTCTGGACAGCAGCCATAAACGGTTTTGCTACAGTGAAGGAGTTCCGGCGAAGATGGGAGAGTTGGGATCCCTGGAAGGAAAATCAGAAATCTAGGCAAGGCAGTGACGATGCCACCAGCAAGTAGCTTCAGCCCTTGGAGCCAAGTCAAGAAGCAGACCCTGCAGGAATGCCAGTTTCTTCTTGCAGGGGGTCAGGAAGGCCTGTCCAAAACCTTTACTTCCCACCAACCTGGATGCAAAAACTACCTTGGCAGGGTCCCTGGCTTGCCACGTAAATGTCCTGGCGTTTCTCGCAGCGGGATTTTTTCAGTTCACACTCATTAGCATAGACCACCCCGTCGGAGCCACACACCTATGTTGAGGAAAAAGGAGAGGGTCTTGTCAGGGCTCACTCGCGATTAGCATAGCGACTGTGGAAAGCAGTAGCCCCTTGGATGTCAATGCCTCATTTGGGAGCAGGCCTATTCATGAGTAAGAGCCTCAGTGTAACCCCTGAGTAGCAACAGCACAACCTTCGGGTCTCCTGGGTTGCTCTTCTGCAGTTCTACCCCAAGGGAGCATTTAAACTGTCCCGTTTTACATCCTTAAAAGTTGACAGCCAACTTTTTCCATTGAACATGATTATCGTCTAGGCTTTATCAAAGCAACAGGGTTGCCCCCCACCCACCCAAACTGGTGCCTTAAAGGCTCTTGAAGAGAGGAGAATTATTCTTGCAGATTTTGGGTGCAGGCTAGGTTAAGACTGGCAACTAAATAAGCAGGTTGGAAGGATTCCGAGATAATTCTGCCTGTGATCTCTTGGCACAGCAGGGAAAAAAAAAAAAACTTAATTCCAATCTCCCTGGTTCAGAGAACACATCTGCTGGCATCCAGGATGTCATACATGCATGGCGTTCATATGCTTTCCACATTCCCGTCAATAAAATATGCAAATGCATGCCAGTGAAATTAATGAGAAACAGAAAAGCCCCCGAGGGCAGAGAAGCATTAAAGACACAACAGAGGACTTAACTCAGCCCTCAGAAGTGACGCCTTGCAGAAGCCTGCCACGGAATTGTTCAGTGGGAACTCAGGAGGGGTTCCCAGAGAGCATCTGGACCAACCCCTTGCTCCAGGCAGAAAATAAAGCGTCTAGCTTCTCCAGACTCCACTTCGAACCCACCAGTCCAATCTCCTCTTTGCCTTCATTGCCCAGCTACTGCCCCGCTTACCAGGTTCTGTGGGACAGTCCCACAGGTATAGTCACACACGCAGCGGTCATCTTCCATATCCTCATCCCACGAGCCCCCGTACGTCCGGCAGCTGTCTCGCTCGCACTCAATGGCGTCTCCGGAGCCGGACCCACCTCCTGAGCCGCACTCTGCACGAGAGAAGAACACCAGGGCTGTGCGTTCCCTCCATCAGGGTTCACAGCACGAGATATTCCACTCCTCGTTCAAAACGACGTCAGGTTTCTAGCCAAGATGATCAGTATCTTTATCTGGGTTCAATTCCTGGCGACTACAGAGATGCGTCTGTGCAGCGTCCTGGCCCTTACTTGCACCGCACGAGCCATAAAACTTTCTTCAATGAACTTTCACGCCAAGAATTTGGGGTAAGAGTACAGAATCTCGAGAATAGAGATATGGCCCCCTATTAAGGAAATACCCCTCCTCCTCTTTCCATCTCAGTGTAATCTCTCACATGTGGCTTTCTGGGTAACAGCATGGAAGGAAACACTGCTTTTTCCTGGCATGGCTTCTCGGTCTAATCAGCACCTCTGGGATTCCATGGTGGTCTCCCATTAACCAGGTTTAACCTTGCCTAACTTTTCAAGCTCAGCCTACTTGGTTCTATGCCATTTTTAGAGCTATCCCCCAGTAAAAGGCATCTGAGCCTGTGAATTAGAGGATTTCTATCCATTTGTCAATTAATTTAATCTACTGAAGATGTAAAATAAGTTCTTGTAAAAACTGCCTGCGTTTTAGGACGGCCTCCTGAAGGACCCAGTTACTGAAAGGAGAGCAATGATGAATTGCGTTCATTCAGTTTTTTAAAAACACTCTCCAAAAGGAAGTGCTTCCAATGGCTTGTTTCTTCTTTTTAAAAGTTTATTAAGTCATAAAAGGCAGGAAGTTGGTATTAGTATACTGAAGTTGATTCGCATAATGCATTTCCTTTCCCCTGCCGACCCCGTGCACAGTCTGATTAAATGTCATGTTCTTCTTTCCGCAAACCCCAGGCTTCGCTCATCCCATGTCTTGGCTACCCCTTTGCGCAAGCTGACTTCACAACAGACCTCAAGGGCCCCAGAGAGCAAGAGAATTTTTTCTCCTCTCTTTCTGAAACAGCTGCCAATTCACAGGTTCGAACTGATCTCTCAAACCGGAGCATTCTGAACGTCGCTTGATTGCTGAGCACAAAGATTTCATGTCTGCTTGTTGTTATCCTTCCTGGATAGAAATACATCCCTCCTATGCTCACAAACACTCTTAATAGCTGTGTGTGTGTGCTAGGGAGCCAGAACACACTGCGGTGTGCTATGTACTAGAGTGGATCATCAGGGCAGTGTGCTATATACTCTGGCTTGATTTCCTTTTTGTGCAATCCAAAATCTGCCAAGCATAAGGGGAGAATGGGGGTGTTATAGGGG